GATGAAGGGATAGATTGTTGAGTCAAGCTGCTGAAGGACTTGGGAGAGGAAGCTTTCAACAGCCTGATAGAGATGGTAGACTTGAGGAAGAGGGACTTACTTTGTAAGATCAAGGAAAATTAGCTAGTAATTTTGAACTCTCTGTATGCCAGACAGTTTTACATGTGTAGCTATTACATCTCATAGCTTAGGAAGTAGATCCTGTTATCTTCCTTTCACAGATGAGCAAACTGAGGCACTGGAAGGTTGAGCATCTTTCTTCCCCACAGCTGCACAGGAGTAGCCTGGATTCAAATTTAGGCATTCTGGTTCTAAAACTATAATGCTGTTTTGTTTCTCAGGGTGTGATGTATATTATATTGGTAAATTGTGGTGTACTGTTTGAGCTCACTGAGAAATAGCTGGATGTGGAAGGGGAGTTGACCCCCCTCCCTTTCAGACCAGGCATGCTTACATCAAGTGTTCTCCATAACTTCCTATCTTGGGCCGGCCAGCCTCCTAACTCTGTAACTAGGAGATAGGAAACAGCAAGCTGAAAACCGCAAGCAACTAACACTATTAAAAACATAGGGCCTTAGGAACAGCTAGAAGGTAAACTATTTCCAACAGAGGTTACTATTGTTTATTCCATGAAATAAAAATGCCTGCAGTGGGAAAGAGACGCCAGAAGCTCATTCCTGGGGAGAATGTTCTACCCCGCCTGGAACTCTTGATCAGGGACCAAGTAACTGCAGACTGGCTTTCAGCAGGGCTTTCCCAGGTGGTTTTTGCTGGATGATTATAAGCACCTGATTTGATGATGCTACCTTTCCACTATTATTTTATAATAGGAAGCCTCAACTGAGACGCTCTACTCTTCTGGGAACTTTCCCAAAGGCAAACTGTAGCTGGCTGTCTCAATGGGGCTTCCCAAGTTGATTTCTGCTGGATGTTTTCAGCACCTGATTTGATGCTGATTTCTATCTGCTACTTGATATTCTTTTACTTTTGCTTGCTATATACTTAATAAACTTACTCATGGCTATCATGAATCATTCTCTGGACCACACAGAATACAGGGCTTAGGGATTTGAACCTAGAACCTCAATGGGAAATAAATATCACATGATTTCATCATTACTATTGTCATTGGAATTAATAATGGCTTATCAAGAGAGTATGTTGAATGTGGTGGTGTTTGGGAAACCAGGCAGGAGAATCTCAACTTTAAATCTCAAGTTAGAGGGACTGGAGAGATGGCTCAGCAGTTAAGAACACTGTTCTTGCAGAAGACCCGGGATCGAATCCCAGCACCCACATGGCAGCTAACAACTGTCGGTAACTTCAGTTCCAGGGGCTCCGACAGCCTCTTCTGTCCTCCGCAGGCATTGCATGACATGGGTGTACTTACCTACATGCTGGTAATACATGCATACACATAAAAATATAAAAAACAAATAAATAAAATATTTAAAAAAACAACAACACTGTTCTTGCAGAAGACCAGGGTTTGAATCCCAGCACCCACATGGCAGCTAACAACTGTCTGTAACTCCAGTTCCAGGGGATCTGACGGCCTCTTCTGTCCTCCGTGAGCATTGCAAGACACGGGTGCACTTACCTACATGCAGGCAATACACTCATATGCATAAAATAAAAATAGTAAATAAAATATTTGAAAAAATCTCAAGTTAGAGAATAGAGATTAGGAGTGGTGGAGGGAGAAAGAGGAATGAGAATGTGTTAGCACTGAATCTTTACCTTTAGATCTGAAACTCTTAATTGGGAAGACCTAGCAGGAACTAAATGTTAAGGATGTCACATTGATGGTACCCCCCCCCCCCTTTTTTTTTTTAATACTCGGAAGGTAATGTCAGACACTGGGGTCATGGTCTCACATCATTTGATCCTCACAACAAGCATGTGAGGTTGGTCTTGTTTTTTCTCTTGTAGATGAGGAAACTGAGATTCAGAATGACAAAGTAGCTTATCCCTTTGCTGCACCACTAAGTTCAGGAACCTGGCCTCTAGCCTTCTGTTTTCCAAACAGGGCTTGGACTACCAAACTCAGCTGTCCCCAAGATGAGCTGCTAAGGTTATATTGGGGAATTTTAAAGACATTTAAAGATTATTTTTTTCTGAGACTGAAATAAATTGTAAATGAAAATGTAATCCTTTGACATTTAGTTTTTTTTTTTTTGGTATTATGTTTAAATTGTTACTGCTGTCTCTTTCTTGGGAAAGGTGCCTTATTCAAATATTTCTTACAGCCCTTTGGGAAGTACACTCTATATGTGAGCAGTCCTAAAATGAGCCACTAAATTTGTACATCAACCTAGAATATTCTTACACATTTTGTTATTTATTTTGAAGTAGAGTTTCACTATATAGTCTAGACTGGCCTTGAACTTGAAATCCTTCTGCCTCAGCCTCCCAGGTGTTTGGAATGGAATACAAGGGTATACCATGCAACACCTGGCTTGTTACATATTTTATTAAGAGGGATTTTATTTCCTTTTTAAAAAAATTTTCTTTTGTATTTTCCCATGTAAGTTTTAAATTTCTTGTACAGGGAGAGGTGAATTGTGATTCAGATAGTTAAATTTTCACATAAAAATATTATTGCTTAATAATCCATTATATTGTATTTCTAATTAAATAAGTTTTCTTTAGGAAATATGAAAGAAAATTGATGGAAATGAGAAAAACTTGTGCTATTAAATTATGTCTTTTCTGTTCATTATTAGTGTTGTTTCTATTTGCTGTAGACCTGATGTAGTAGGGCAGAGGTTGTAGGCTTGGTACTAACTGAATCCCGTTTCTCTTTCTTTTCTCTCAATGCTTTTGTTACGTTCAGAGCCTGCAGCTGGTGAAAGAAAAAATGGATCTCCTGCCCTTGCTGAGGCTGTTGCCAGGTAACCAGAGCTGGTTATTATTTAGAGGAATTTAATACTGAGCTATTGGAAAAGAGAAGATGATTTATTGACACATGAAAACACTTGAAATCCAACATATTCAGCAGTGTGTTGAGTTATAGGTTTTCTTAGTAATTTTAGGTCCAGTGGAACTCTTGGCATACTTAAATATTGAGATATCTGGAGGTCTTCCCAGTGTTCACAGGAGTTCCCTTTTTCCTTTTCTGTTGATGACTGAGCTTTTTGGTGAAGAAACAAAGGAGCAAGAGATAGCTCTAGACACATTGTAGTTCTAGATGGGCACTGCCTTAGGACATTTTCTCTCTTGCTTGCCAAATTAAGTTCTAGGTTGAGCTGTTTTTGCTTTGTCATGAATGCTGTAATGCTTTCAGTAAAGTGTGACCTGATACTGTGGTATTAGTGGGGAAGCTTTGCCATCTGGTGGCTGTGAGAGTAGACTTGTTTGAGGCGTGAGATGTCCCAGAATGAACACACCAGCAACAGTTTGTGAAATACAGGTGAGGCTTCTTAAATAAAAAAGGCAGGCACTGTAAGGAAGTAGACTAGATGCAAGACTGCTGCAGGGTGGAGGATGGTCAAGGGAACATGTGCTCTATTTAAAAGTGTGTTCCACCATCACTGGTGGTTGTCATTTATGATATCAAGCTTGCTGGACTGTATAGTGATAGAGTGTTTGCTTAACTTATACAAGATCTTGTATCTAATCCTCAAAACTGCTATAAATAATTTAAGCAATTTTTTAAAAAGAATGCAAGCTTATTGTTGTCAAATCTTTAAAAATTCAAAGAGAAATTTGAATTTTTAAATTTGTTAAAATTTTGTGTTTGCCTACATGTATGTGTGTGTGTACCTGGTACCTGCAGAGACCAGAACAGGGTGGAATTGGGTGAGCCACCATGTGTGTTTTGAGAATGGAACTCTGGTGGTCCTCTGCAAGAGCAGCCAGTGCTCTTGACCACTAGTCATCTCTCCAGCCCCATGAAATTTAGATTTTTTAAAAAAGATAATGTAAAACGTGTCCATGGACTAAATTTGAACCCCTTTTGTTGTGTTTCTGACTGCTCAAAATTTTTTATTTTGCTCTTAGTTATGCTTTAGATTAATCACTGTTAGGCTTTTGTATGTGTTTAATCTTAAAAAATAAGCACCTGGGGGCTGGAGAAATGACTCAGCGGTTAAGAACACTGTTCTTGTAGAAGACCCGGGTTCAAATTCCAGCACCCACATGGCAGCTAACAGCTGTAACTCCAGTTCCAGGGAACTGACAGTCTCCTCTGTTCTCCACGGGCATTGCATGACATGGGTGCACTTACCTACATGCAGGCAATACATACATACACATAAAATAATAATAATAATAATAATAATAATAATAATAAAAAGCACCTGAGGAGGCCTTTCCAATAGAAAACTCTGATTTATAGAAAAGAAAAAACTTGGGCAGTAGGTGGTAGATCATGAAATGAGGTAAAAGTTACAGGTGTTGTTGTGAGTCAAATTGTGTGTGTGTATGTGTGTGTGTGTGAAGGCTGTGCTTAAGGGCCTTTAACCCCAGCACTTGGGAGCCTGAGGTATGTGGATCTCTGTGAGCTCCAGGCTAACCAGGGTGACATAGTGAGACCCTGTATCTCAAAAAATTTTTTTTCAGTTTAATTAAATAAATAAAATCTGTGTTTAAAATCTACACAAAAGTAGAGAGTAGTGCAGTAGACCACCATACTTTAAATGGTCAGGCTTGATTTATAAAAACTTTGAGCATTTCTTCCCCACACTGAATTTTTTGAAGATAACTATTTCAGTGCTATCTCTAAAAGATAAGGATTCTTTTTTTTGGGGGGGGGAGGTCTTTTTGAGACAGGGTTTCTCTGTAGCCCCAGCTGGCCTGGAACTTACTATGTAGACCATGCTGGCCTTGAACTCATTGAGATCCTCTGCCTCCTGAGTGCTGGGATCAAAGGCATGCACAACCACGCCTGGCTAAGATAAAGATACTTTTGAAAATTAACAATGATTCCTTAATGCTATGCAATATTTAGTGTTTAGATTCCTCTGCCTCATAATTCTCTTTTTAGTTAGAAGCAAGAAACCAAAATCTACAAATCATGTCTGATAGATATGTTTAAGTAATTTTTTTTTCAATTTGTGTATGTGTGTGTGTGTGTAAGCCATTTTTTAAATCACTATATTCCTGTTGCTTTTTTTTTTTTTCTCTTGTGAAGTACCTCTTGAGGAACTGGACTGTTTGTCCTGTAGTTGTCTATATTCTGGATTTTTCTCATTATATCCTTATAGTATTTAATGGCATCCTCTCTGTTTTCTCCAGTGACTCTTTACTGAAGGTTTTTCATTGCATTAATTTTGCTCAAGTGTTTTTTTAAAAAATATTGGAGCTGGGTGTGGTGGTGCATGCCTTTAATCCCAGCACTTGGGAGGCAGAGGCAGGTGGATCTCTGTGAGTTTGAGGCCAGCTGGGGCTACTGGGAGACCCTGTTTCAAAAATACACACACACAAAAAAATTTATGTGTATGAGTATTTTGCCTGTATGCATGTATGTGTCCCACATGTGTGTCTAGTGCCCATGGAGGCCAGAAGAGGGCATCAGATCTCCTGAAACTGGAGTTACAGATAGTTGTGAGCCACCATGAGGATGCTGGGAACCTAACCCCCATCCTCTACAAGAGCAACAAGGAGGGGCTGGAGAGTTGCCTCAGTGGTTAAGAACACTGACTGTTCTTGCAGAAGACCCAGGTTCGAATCCCAGCACCCACATGGCAGCTAACAGCTGTCCATAACTCCAGTTCCAGGGGATCCGACAGTCTCTTCTGTCCTCCGCAGGCATTGCACAACACAGGTGTGCTCACCTACATATAGGCAATACATGCGTACACATAAAATAAAAATAATAAATTAATCCAAAAAAAAAAAAAGAGCAACAAGGGCTCTTAACCTCTAGTCCCTCATTGTGTTCATTTGAAACATGTATCAAGAGTTGACCTTTTGGTATAAGGGGTTTGAAGTTTGGGATGTAGGAAAGGATTCCCTCTGTGCCTAAAAGGATGCCCTTCAGAGGTACTTTTCCTTTTGAAACTAACACAATACATTGCTTTAATATATTACTTTAGTCCTCAGAAGACCATGTCTGTGTTGAGCTGTATCTGTGAAGCCCAGCAAGAGAATGAGGCTCAAAGTGAGGATGCCCGCACTGCACCCATTAGGTAAACATTATTTTCCTACTATTTAGGGGTTGTACTGATTCATTAATTAGTTGATATATTGCTCTATGTTGTTTTGCCCAAACTGGCCTCAAGTTTCTGGTTCAGGCAATACTCTTTACTCAGGTGCATGCTACTGTACCAGACACTGAGCGTTTTTTTGTTGTGTTTGAGAGATGGTCTCATGTAGTCCTGGCTGGCCTGGAACTTGCTTTGTTGACTAGGCTGTCCTCGGAATTCACATAAATCTGCCCTCTTGGCCTCCCAAGTGCTGGAATTACAAGGTTTGTACCACCAGGCCCAGGTTGAGAGCTCCAGCTGGCCTGGAACTTACTATGAAGACCAGGCTGGCCTTGATCTCACAGAGATTGCCTGGTTCTGCCTCCTGAGTACTAAGATTAAAGGCACTGAGTTTATTTTTTATTTATTATTATTTGTGTGTATATGTGTATATTGCCTGTGTGTATGTAAGTGCATCTGTGTTGTGCAGTGCCCATGAAGGTCAGAAGATAGCGTTGAATTCCCCTGGAACTGGAATTATGGATGGTTATTAGCTGCCATGTGAGTGCTGGGAATTGAACCTGGGTCCTCTGCAAGAGGAAAAACAAAACAAAATGAATTCCAAATGTTTATTTGGACTATTAAGGCACATTGTTTGGAATATATAATTCTTCATTTAGTACAGAGAAATAAGTAATGGCAATTAGTGGCTTGTACTTAGTATTTTCATTAGTTAGTATCTTGCATTTCTGGAATTCAGTGATTTTTGCAATTAGCTAATGTAATACTAATAGGTTTATTCCTAATAGTGATATTAGTGGCTTAAATTGTGTGTGTGTGTGTGTGTGTGTGTGTGTGTGCGTGCATGAATGTGATGTTTGTGATTTTTTTTCATGTGTGTACATGAAGGTGTATGTGTGGTTGCATGCATGCATGTATGCCAGGTGTATTCCTCAGTTACTCTTCACTTTTTGTTTTTTTGAGACAGTGTCTTTGTAGCTTCAGCTGGCCTTGAACTCACTGTATAGACCAGGCTGGCATCACTCTCATAGAGATTCACCTGCCTTTGTCTCCCTGAGTGCTAGGATTAAAAACTTGTGCCACTGTGCCTGGCTCCACCTATTTTTTTTCGTTAGGAGCTCTCACTGGACCTGGAGATCACAGATTGACTAGGTTGGTTGACCGGTGACTGCCCCCATTTCTCCAGCACTGGAGTTACAGACATGGGCTGCTACACCTAGGTTTTATGTTGGTGCTAGAGATCAGAACTCAGACCCTCATGTTTGGTATTTTACCAGCTGAGCCCTCTTTCCAGCCCCCTAATAGCATCATTTCTATATTCCTTTTTGGTTTTGAAATAGGATCTCATGTAGCTCAGGCTGTCTTTGAACTTGATATTGTTGAGAATGACCCTAAATTCCTGATCCTTATACCTCTGCCTCCTTAGGCCTGGGATATAGGCATAAGCTACCATGCCTAGCTCTGTGTTCTTTATTGACAGAAATGGTTAGAAGAAAAATGTCAGTGCTGTTATTTGGGCATTCTGATAGATTATGTATGCACTTTAAAGTATTCTTGGGACTCTTGGCAAGATAGTAAGGGCATCAGAGCCTTTATCATGTCTTAAAAGTTTGCAGGGTGAAATAATACTTTGTGTGTTGCTAAAAGTGGCATAGAAACAATCCAGCTATTGATAAATTCTATCACTGTATCCTTTTTTATTTGAGCATCTTAAAATAGAGGAGGCAGCATATTGCAACCTTTGTAGAACAGGACATGGGAAACTAGCTGAATTCTAGTTGTTCCATAGATCTACACTCAGAACTAAATGGTTAGAGGTTGGTTAAGTAAGCTGGGTATGGTGGTTCTCACCTATAATCTCAGCATTCAGAAGGCTGAAACAACAGGATCAAGAATTCAAGGCCAGCAGCTAGATACATGGCTCAGCAGTTAAGAGCATTGACTACTCTTGCAGAGGACCTGAGTTTGGTTCTCAGCACCCACATGACAGCTAACAACTGTCTGTAACTCTATTTCCAGGGGAGATAGAAGCTTTTCTCTGACCTCCTCGGGTGTTGCACAACATGGGTATACTTACATGCAAGCAATACACTCATATACACAAAATAAAAATAATAAATTATTTTTTTAAAAAAGAGTTGAAGGCCAACCTTTACTACATAGTGATTTTGAGGCCAGCCTGGGCTACATGAGATCCTATCTCACAAAACAAAAAAGTTGGTTAAATATGAAGATTAATTCTTTCATGTATCACTTTGAATTAATTTTTGCTATTTTAAGCTAAAATTTTCTTAGTTTCTAAATCTTGATATATAATCTAGAGTAGAATTGTGGAGCTGAAACTAATAAAGAAATGTATTGGGCTGAGGAGATGACTCAGTGGTTAAAGTGCTTGCTACACAAACCTGAGGACCAGAATTTGTTGGTATTGAGACTGGAAAGTAACCACGGACACAGTAGTTATTTCAAAGATAGCAGAGGGCTCAGCATCTTGAGGGCAAGAGACCTGTGTGCCCTTTTGCTTTTCCTTTTATTGGCCTTGCAAAACAATTACAGCATGAGAAGCAGAAGAACAGTAAGTGATTACTCAAGGACACAAACATTTTTCCCAGCTACTATCTAGGTACAAAGTCCTGCTATGGCTACTGACTATCTTCAAGGACATTCTGGGTTTTAGAATAACAAGCTCAAGATGAAGGTTGTGTTGGTCAGTGTGATGGCCAACACCTCTACACAGTACCTTGTATGCATTCTTGGCATTCCTACAAGTTGCTTGTAACCTTCCAGCTTGTCCAGTTAACTCTGTTGCCCAATCTCTTCTCTTTATCTATTTGGTTCCCTTCAAGAGTTGAGATTCCCAGAAACCCACCTAAATGGTATGTGGCTGTGGCAGCCCACCTGTAATTCCAGCATTGAGGGGTGGAAACGGAATTTCTAGAGAAGTTGGCTAGCAAGACTAGCCCTATTAGTGAGCTCTGGATTTGACCGAAGGACTCTGCCTCAATGAATAAAGTAAAAGAGCAGTAGAGGAGGGTTTCCTGCAGCAACTTCAGGCCTCCACATGTGCATGTGCACATGCATCCACATCTCTGTACACACAGGAGAAAAGATACATATACATACATCTGTAACCCTCCTCCATTTGAAAAATAAAGAGATGTGGTACCCTCGCACCCCCATACTGGGACTCCAACCCAGGGTCTCACACATACTAGGTAAGTTTTCTATAATTGTATCATCTGTACCCCTGTGTAATTTTGTAGACAATTACTTTTCTTCTACAACTTTTCTGGTGCTAAAGATTACCTTCTCTCTCCCTCCCTCTCTCTCTTCGTCCCTCCCTCCCCCCCACATTTATTGGAGGGGATGGTGCATATCATGGCACTCTTGTGGAGATCAGAGGATGAGTTGGTCTCTCCTTCCACCATGTATATTCCAGGGATCGAGCTCAGGTTGTTGGGCTTGGGAGCAAGCACTTTTATCCTCTTTCTAATTTCTTGAATTAGTATGTATCTTTATGGTACATTTTTCTCATTGATTTATAAACTTCATAGGATTGGAGCAACAGTTTTTATAGTACATGTTGTAATTAAAGCTTCAATGTTTTTTCCCTACCATTGTGTGTTGGTCTTAATTACAAATCTTGTTAACCAAAACAAAGCATTTAAAAAAAAAATATTTTATGTGTATGAGTGTATTGCCTGCATGTATGTAAGTGTACCCATGTTGTTCAATGCCTGCGGAGGTCAGAAGAAGGTGTCAGATCCCCTGGAACTGGAGTTGCAGATGGTTGTTAGCCACCATGTGGGTGCTGGGAACGGAACCTGGGACCTCTGCAATAGCAGCCAATGCCTTTAACCACTGAGCCATCTTTCCAGTCCCAACAAAGCACTTTTTTTTCCCCCCTTGTTTTTGAGACAGGGTCTCCTTATAGCCCCAGCTGTCCTGGAACTCACTATGTAGACCAGGCTGGCCTCAAACTCACAAAGATCCACCTGCCTCTGCCTCCCAAGTGGTGAGATTAAATTCGTGTGCCACCACGCCCAGCCCCAACAAAACACTTTTAACATGAATCTTTTGATTATTTTAACAGAAGAATGATAAATGCCAAAATTCTGATGTTTGGTAGGACTCTGCTGATATTGCCAATGTTACATTGAGTCACTTTTGGTTTCTTTAAAGAAGCAACAATTCTGATTAACTCTACAGAGGCAGAGGGGGAAAGCAGGCTTAATATTTATCTCTTGAGGAAAAAAAGTCCAAAATAAAACAGAAATTTGCTTTAGGAAAAAAATTCTTCTGAGGTTCTATGCTGATTAAATAGTTTCTGAGCTGTCTTAGTTTCTTTGACTGCAATAACAAGCAACAGAAGTTTACTTCTTTTAGAAAATACTTAATATTTAAAAAATATTTATTTTTATTTTATGTGTATGAGTGTATTGCCTGCATGTATGTGAGTGCACCTGTGTCGTGCAATGCTGCGGAGGTCAGAAGAGGGCTTCAGATTCCCCCGGAACTGGAGTTAAGGATGGTTGGTTTGTAGCCACCATGTAGGTGCTGGGGATTGAACCTGGGTCCTCTGCAAGAGCAGCCAGTGCTCTTAACCGCTGAGCAATCTCTCCAGCCCCGAAAATATTTAATATTTAAAAAAATTATTTTATGTGTATAAGTATATTGCCTGCATGTATATAAATGCACCCATGTTGTGCAGTGTCCATGCAGGCCAGAAGGCATCAGATCCGCTGGAACTGGAGTTACAGATGGTTGTTAACTGCTGTGTGGGTGCTGGGAATTGAAGCTTCAAGAACAGCCAGTGCTCTTAAGTGCTGAGCCATTTCTATGACATAGTTTAAGCCCCTTATCATACTTAATAATCTTCAGTGATGTGTCTCAGTTTATGCTTTAAAACATGATACCCAGCTCTGAAATAATATTCCAGATGTTCTGACATGGTCAGTTCAGAATGGAAATTTTATTTATTTATTTATTTATTTATTTATTTATTTATTATTTTTTTGGTTTTGGTTTTGGTTTCAGAAAGGGTCTCAGCCCAGGTGGACCTGGAGCTCACCAAATAGTTTAGACTGGCCTTGAATTTGCAGCAGTTGACCTGCCTCAAGCCTCTTGAGGACTAGGATTACAGATGTGAGCCATCACGATTGGTGATTTATTTTACCTTAATTCTGGCTGTTTACATGTGAGGTAGCCAAATAATGCATTGGTCTGTTTACTTTATCTCTGAGTAGATTTTTGTACTTTATTTATTCAGAGAATATTCATTCTTTTGATCAAAGTACACATATTAAGGAGCTGGAGAGATGGCTCATCTGGCAGATTTGCTGATCTGGCAGAGGACCTGAGTTTGCTTCCCAGCACCCACAAGGTGGGCTTACAACCACTTGCAACTCAAGTTCTGGGAGACCCAACACCCTCTTCTGGCCTCGGCAGGCTCCTGCATGCACCTGGTATACAAAATTCATGCAGGCTCACATACACATAAATTTTTAAAAAATCTTAAAGTACAAGTATTAAACTTTAAGTATTAAGCTTTGTTAATGTTATGTGTTTCAAATTTAAAGGTAAATAAGACAGATTTGTGTGTAACCTGCTTACTTGGAGCTAACCTGGGTCTTTTTATTCTACAGTTATTAAAAACACTTAAAACCTCCAGTCACCTCAGAAACTGTGGTATTTGGTATAGGAAGCATTCAGCCAGTATTTATTGAATAGAAAACTGATGCCCAAATGGAAAAACTAATGAAAAGACAGGGGCTGTATATCTTGAGAATTGTCTTCAAGTTATTCTGAGATGTTTAAGGCATAGATATGCCCAGTGGTGACACTGAGGAATTGGACACATACTGCAATCACCAGATGGTCTTTTGAGCCAGAAACCCAGACTCTTACCAGCAACTTTCTCCTTCGAAGATTGGATTTCTTCTTCTAAAATTATTGCTCAGGAGAAGACAGATAGCTTGTATAGTGGTAAGAGTCAGTAAGGAATGTTAGAACCATTAAGACCAAATGATGTGGCTAGAGAGATGGCTCAGTGGTTAAGAACACTGACTACTCTGGCAAAGGACCTGGGTTTGATTCCCAGCACCCATATGGTGGCTAACAACTGTCCATAACTCCAGTTCTAGAAGATCCAGCGCCCTCTTCTGACTGCCTTGGACATTGCATGACACAGGTGCACACATGTAGGCAATACACTCATATACATAAAATTAAAAAATGAAAGTAGGGGAAAATGGCGGCTTCGGCTGAATGCGGTGCTTCGGGCGGCGGAGGCAGCACGGAGGAGGCTTTTATGACCTTCTATTGCGAGGTGAAACAAATAGAGAAGAGAGACTCAGTTCTAACATCCAAAAATCAGATTGAAAGGTTGACCTGTCCTGGTTCCTCTTACTTTAATTTGAACCCATTTGAGGTTCTTCAGATAGATCCTGAAGTGACAGACTAGGAAATAAAAAAGAGGTTTCGGCAGTTGTCTATATTGGTGCATCCTGACAAAAATCAAGATGATGCTGACAGAGCACAGAAGGCTTTTGAAGCTGTGGACAAAGCTTACAAGTTGCTACTGGATCAGGAACAAAAGAAGAGGGCCCTGGATGTAATTCAGGCAGGAAAAGAATACGTGGAACACACTGTTAAAGAGTGGAAAAAAACAATTAAAGAAGGAAGGAAAGCCTACCAATGTAGAGGAGGATGACCCCAAACTGTTCAAGCAAGCAGTGTACAAACAGACCATGAAGCTCTTTGCTGAGCTGGAAATTAAAAGGAAAGAGAAAGAAGCCAAAGAAATGCATGAAAGAAAGCGACAGAGGGAAGAGGAGATTGAAGCTCAAGAGAAAGCCAAACGAGAGAGGGAGTGGCAGAAGAACTTCGAGGAAAGTCGAGATGGTCGAGTGGACAGTTGGAGAAATTTCCAAGCAAATACTAAAGGGAAGAAGGAGAAGAAGAACCGGACCTTTCTGAGACAACCAAAAGTAAAATGGAGCAGCGTGAGTGACCGGCAGGGTCACAGCCCGAAGCTTCCCAGCTGTCCCCTCCTGCTTCAAAGGACTCATTCGTTCCTCCCACTTCACCCGACATAGAGTAGCATTTGCTTTTTAGTCCATTTTGTTTTCAATACAATTTAATATCAGAGTAATTCTTTTGTACATTGAAAGGAGGGGCTTGGTTTAACCTTCCCCTGGTCCCTACCCATAGAACCACCAGGATGGGAAGGTGCCAACCCTGTTGCCGCCTTCCCTTCCCACAGTCTGTAACTTAATGTTTTGTACTTCACTGAATTGTGATGGTTAGAAATGTCATGTATGGTTTGTGAAAATCATCCAGTTAAATGTCTTGCTTACAAAAAAAAAAAAAAAGAAAGTATTTTTTAAAAAAGACCAAACGAGACATCATGACATACTTTTCTGAGTAGACCACTAAGCTGCCTTGCATTATATGTGACTTCAGTAATGACTTTTCATCTTATTGACCTTATTTTATTGTGTCAGATTTCAGAGTTCACTTAGTCCATTTTTAATTGCTAATAATAATACCACAGACTAGTTAAACTATGAAGAAAAGAGGTTTATTTTGATTCAGGGTTGTTTGAAGATTGAGGGGCTGTGTCTGGTGATGGTTTATTTAATGTTGGAATCCTAAGGCATTGCATGGCATGATGTCATAATAAAGAATGTGTGCTAGTTCTGATCGGTGTTTCTTAAAAAGCTACCAGTGTGTACCTTACCCAGATGGCCTTGTCTAGTCTTAATTATTTCTCAAGGCCCAGCTCTAAAATGCCATGTTGGATTTAGTTTTGCCCTCTTAATACCTCATTATAGTGGGGATTAAATTAATTTTATTATTTTATATTTTGGGCAGCCTCTCTACTTAGCCTAGGTTGGCCTTGTGCTCATGATCCTCATCCTCCTGAGTGCCGAGATTATAGATATGCTTTCCCACATCTGCACAGGATAGATTTTAACATGAGTTTCATAAGGAAAAGCCATATTCAAACTCTAACATGGAATTTATGTTTCATTTTCAGGGGGAACTTACACCATTTTCCAAGTATTCAAGATGAGGAGAAAGAAAAATTGGACGATAACCAAATGATCAGGCAGAGTGAACAGCTTGTGAGACCTATAGGACCTGTCAAAGATGGTGTTCCTTCTGAGGGCTCTGCTGCTGCTGCTGCTGCTGTTTCCCAGCAGAGGGCTGCACAGGGGCCATTTAGCTCCCAAGGAGAAGCAATGGAGATAGACCTGCCAGAAGGCCAGAAGGAAGGGTGGAATGCTAATCAGGAAAAGCCTACTAAGGTCTTGCTTGAAAGGCCCACCCAGAGTAATATAGGAATCCAGACTGTGGAACATTCCCTGTGTGCCCCAGAAACTGTTTCAGCAGCAACACAAACTGTAAAGAATGTGTGTGAGCAGGGGACCAGTACAGTGGACCAGACCTCTGGAAAACAAGATGCCACAGTACAGACTGAGAGGGGGAGTGGTGAGAAACCAGTCAGTGCTCCTGCAGATGATACTGAGTCCCTCCACAGCCAGGTGGGAACATAGGTGCTTCAGAGGCCCAGTTATGGACACACTGGATTGAATCTCAGAGAATTTAAGTTGTGGCACTTCAAACTATACCTCTTTCTTTTTTTAAAACTTTATTATTATTGTTCTCTGTACGTTTTGTATGTCGAGGTCGGAGGACAACCACAGGTATTTGTCATTTTTGTTTTGAGACAGGACCTGTCATTGGCCTGAATCTTCTCCATGTAGGCCAGGGTAGCTGGCCCCTGAGCTTCTGGAGATTCACTTGTCTCCTCTTACCTCACCATTGCTGGGATTATATGTGTGTGTCACTGTACCCAGTTTTAATGTTGGTTTTTGGGATCTGAACTCAAGTTCTTATGCTTGTGAGGCAAGCACTTTACTGAGCCATCTCTCCAGTTCTAATAACTGGTTTTTGTTTCTTAAAAGATTTCATTCAAGTGTATGAATGCTTTGTCTGCGTATGTGTTAAGTGCATTACATGTGTACCTGGTACCCAAGGAGGTCGGAAGAATGCATGGGTCCCCTGGAACTGGAGTTAACAGATGAGTGTTAGCCACCATGTAGGTACTGGGAACTGAGCCAGGGTCCTCTTGCAAGAGTAACCAGTGCTCTTAACTGCTGAGCCATCTGTTCAGCCTCTCTAATGACTTTTTTTTTTTTTAATTTTTGTTTGTTTGTTTGTGTATATGAATGTATTTCTTGCATGTATGTAAGTGCACCTATATTTTGCAATGCCCGGGGATGTCAGAAGAGAGCATCGGATTCCCCTGGAACTGGAGTTACAGATGGTTATTAACCACCATGTGGTGTTCTGCAAGAACAGCCAGTGCTTTTAACTGCTGAGCCATCTCTCCTTAATAGTATTGTATAATTCTATTTTTTAAAAGACAGAAGCAGTTTATTCAGGATATGGTGAAAATTACTTGGTTCTATAATGAATAGTCTTTTAGAGAAAGTGGCATAGTGCTAGAGTTTGTTAAGTAGTAGGCCTTTATTGGAAAACAAAGCCAGAATCTTTTTTTAGGTCTGAACAAACTGTCAATTCAACACTTGCATTAAGAGACTTTGTTTTTGATCTGAGACAGGGTCTACCTGTGGCCCTGAACTCACAGAGAGTTGGCCTTGAACTCACAGAGATCTGCCCGCCTCTGCCTCCCTGGGGCTGGGACTAAAGGTGTGTGCCACCATGCGCAGCCTGAGACATGTATTTTTCACAATACTGTTTTGTATGGCAATATGTTGGGTATCAGTCTGTTCAAGTAATCAAACTACATTGAATAGAGCCATAAACAAAAAAAGCAGTAGTGATTTACTTTAATTGTAAGCTTTTCCCTCTGATGCATAGGTTCTCTTTGCAATTGTTTGAACAGTGTAATGCAATCTTTTTTTAATTGAATTTTTACAAAATTCATACAACTTTTTTTGATCATATTTAGACTCCCTCTTCTATCTGTATCTGTCTTATAGCCCCCCCCCCCCGATTTTATTTACTTTGTCGTGTATATTAAGGCCCACTGAGTCAACTTTGTGTCTCCAAATGTCCTTTGGTGTTTGTCCAACCACTGGAGCCTGGCTAACCTCTCTAGTGTCACACTCAACAGACTGTCCCTCTCCCAGTAGCAATAGTTCCTAAGTTAAGTCTGGGACTTAACTTCCCCCATTTCTATGTTTGTCTGGCTTGAGCTTGCATGGGTCGTTGCATGCTGTTACCATTGCTGTAAAAAGCCACTCTCATATCATGTTGTTTACATTCATTCTGCCTCCATTTATCATCTTCCTTTCTAACCATCATAATTAAGTACCTCTCCCTAGGTCTGTTTGAGTGTGTCTCTAGCACCTCAGATAAGAGAAAGAAGCAGGAGGACAGTATAGCACTGTACTGGGATCTGAAAGAACAGTGACAGGGGTGACAAGAAGGGCCTGGAATGACTAGGGACTGCAGCAGAGAGACAGCCTAGAGATAATAGGACTGATGCAGATGAGGTTCCTGGGGTAAATTGAGTAAGTAAGGGAATAAGGTGTGGTTGTGAATATCTTACAGTGGCTAATATGCCTTTCCAGTTCTCTGATAGATCATTCTTAGGAACTTCCCAGGAAGTTTTCAGTGGTGTGCCTCTTGTTGCCATTGTCTAGATTATTTTGTAAAATAGAGTTCCTAATTTATTGAACACCTTATGCTATGCCATCATTGTGTTTCAGACCCAACCTGTGGGATTGATATCATTATTATTCCCACAGAGACCAAACTGAAGACAGATTTAGTATAATAAATTACCCAAAATTTTGTCATCAGTAGTGACAGAACTGGAATTTAAGTTAAGCATATCTGAGTCAGTTTAATTTTGAAACATGGGCTGTTTAGTCTTTTGCTGTTTATCTGTGCCTCTCTCCAAGAGTTCCAAAATTTTGTTTACATTTGTCTTTTACAGTAATAGTCTCTGAGAGCTAATATTGAAAAATCCTTTGGGCTAGGCGTGGTGGCACACGCCTTTAATCCCAGCACTCGGGAGGCAGAGGCAGGTGGATCTCTGTGAGTTCAAGGCTACCATGGTCTACATAGTGAGTTCCAGGACAGCTGGGGCTACAGAGAGACCCTGTCTCAGAAAGACCAAAAAAAAAAAAAAAAAAATCCTTTGGAACTGGAGAGAAAGCCTATGGTTAATAGCACTGGCTGCTCTTGCAGAGTACCCAGATTTGATTCCCTGCACCCACATGGCAGCTTACAACTGTTCTTAGCTCTGGTTCCAGGAGATATATTGCCCTCTTCTGGCCCCCACAGGCATTGCACATGTTGGTACATTTACATACATGTAGGCAAACATTCATATGCACAAAATAAAAATAAGTAAAAAAAAATTTAAAAATAAGTAAAAAAAGTTTTAAAATCCTTTGAGATTTAGGGGCCATAGCATATCTCAGACCCTCTTTTACTTATTTATTTTCATAATCTTTAAAATGTTTCTATTCTGTGACATAGTAATTTGGTTTCTCTGCTTTTGTAGAAAAAGTCAAATTTGATCTTAAATATAAGAGTCAAGGGGAACCACTAGACTTTTTTCCTTTGCCTCTTCATGTTCTCTGTAAAATGGGAACTAATCTCTCCCTGTATCTGATGGTGATGATAGATGGCAATAAGAGTGAGTGGCTAAGGCCCAGGTTTTGGAGTCATCACTGCTACATGAAGATGCTGTGAGGATTAAGAGATAAAGCACTTAGCACTGCATCTGGACATCTGAATGCTCTAAATACATGGGTGACTCCTGCTACCTGTTGATTATTATGGTGGTTATTACTATGACCACTGTTGATAAACTACTACAGTGCCATACAGAATGAAAGAATACATTAAGAACTAGTTTCCGGGGCTGGAGAGATGGCTCAGCAGTTAAAGAGCACTGATTGCTCATGCGGAGGACCTAGGTTCTGTTCCCAGCACCCACATGGTGGTTAATAACTGTTTGAAACTCCAGTTCCAGGTGATGTGAGACCCTCTTCTGACCTCCTTGGGCATTGCATGACATGGGTGCACTTACATACATGCAAGCAATACAGTTATACATATAAAAATAATAAATTAAAAAAATTATTAAAAAGAACTAGTTTAAGTTCTGAACAAATTTGCATTTAGAGTTTTCAGCAGGTACTGTGTACCTGTTACCCATACATTGTTCACTAAATGTTTGTTTAATGAAAGAGGCTTATTTTTGTTGGAGTAATTTCATGAGCAGTTGTTACAAAATGTAGGGTTTTATTCTAACTGGTCTTTATGGTAAACTATATAAATTTTTGGTTTTTTTTTTTTTTTTTTTTTTTGAGACCAGGCTGGCCATAATCTCACAGAGATCTGCCTGCTTCTGCTTTTTGAGTGCTAGAATTAAAGGCATATACCACCATCCCCAACCATATATAAAATCTTAATTTGCTAATATTTCTGCATACTATGTACTATGGTAACTTTTTTTTGTATGTCAGGTGCTGGTCTCAAACTTGCTGTATAGTTTAGAGGAGCCTTGAATTTCTGGTTCTCCCTCTACCTTCCAAGTATTGCAACTATCGATGTGCATCATCATGCCCAGCTTTCTAGCTTAACCATTAGCTAAAATCTATTTCTTAGAATAGATTAAGAGTTTCATATTTGGGACTGGAGAAATGACTCAGCAGTTAAGAGCACTAGCTGCTCTTGCAGAGGGCCCAGGTTTGATTCCCAGTACTCACATGGCAGCTAACAATTGTCTGTAACTCCCGTTCCAGGGGATCCAACGCCCTCTTCTGTCCTCCACAGACATTGCATGACACAGGTGCATTTACACACATGCAGGCAGTACATTCATACACATAAAATGTAAAAAATAATAAAAATTTTTAAAAAGTTTCATATTTAACCTAAGGAGAAATCAATGTAATTTTTTATAAATAAATTGGTTTTCACTTACTGATTAACAAATGTTGATTTTGGTCTTACCTAAGGATTAAAGAGTGCCTTCTTTTTGGTAAAGAGCTGTTGGACATGCCATCATCAGAATTAAGATTAGCTGGGTGTGATGGTGCATACTTATACTCCCAGCACTTTGGAGGGTGAGAGAGGAGGAGCTGAGTTAGAGAGGCCAACTTGGGGTACATAGTTGAGTTGAAGACCAGTTTGAACTATACAGTGAAACCTTGTTTCAAAAAAAAGTGTGAGGGTCTGCAGAGATGGCTCAGCAGTTAAGAGCACTGGCTGCTCTTGCAGAGGACCCAGGTTTGAATTCCAGCAGCTACATGGTAGCTAACAACCATCTGTAACTCCAGCTCCAGAGGATCTAGTGCCCTCTTCTGACCACTACAGGCATTGCATAACACAGGTGCACTTACATACATGCAGGCAATATACTTATACACATAAAATAAAAACATTTTTTAAAGTGAAAATTAGAGTAATTACAATCTAAAAGTAATGTGTTAGGTATTATGATTTAGCTTTAGTGTTAGATAATTTCAGGTGAAGTCAGGCTGACACAGACTTCTCCCAGCCTCTTCCTTAGTCTTATCTGTAGATAAATAGAAAATTTTATCATATCAGAGCCAAGAGTCTTGGAACAGTGCTCATCATGAAGAAAGTATTTGTGATTCTGAGAGTTTACTGTAAGACCCATGGTTGCATTCTGGATTCTGTTTGTTCATTTTTGTTTTTAACTTTGTTCTATATCTTCTCTCATAGGGAGAAGAAGAATTTGATATGCCCCAGCCTCCACATGGCCATGTCTTGCATCGCCACATGAGAACCATTCGGGAAGTACGTACCCTTGTCACCCGTGTCATCACAGATGTGTATTATGTGGATGGAACAGAAGTAGAAAGAAAAGTAACTGAGGTAATAACTTGGGTCTGTGTAGCAGACAGAAAAATCACTTTTGTTTTCTATCTTCCTCTCCTTCTCTCTTTCTCTTTTCCTGTACCACTAGGCACTAACACTGTTGTTGTTGTTTTAATTAAAAGAGACACAAAACTGGGGTAGAAGAGAGAGGTCCTGCGTTTTTTGTTTTCCTCAACCATGGGCTTGGGGGTTAACTTTGGTTAGCCCCATCATTTCTGTTAAAAGCAGAATGATAGATTTCTATTAATTTCTCTCAAAGATTTTACATATTATTTTAAACTGTGGAAATGTAAATGAAATCTAGAGGTCCCTGTTTGGTGCATGCCCTTCCTGTTCTCATGTATTTCATGTCTACTCATTGCATTCTTGCAACGGACCAGCCCAGACCGGGGCAGTTCAGTCCAATGGGAACAGGGTCGTCGAGAGGGTGGACAAGGAGTCGGCGAGTGACAAACAGACGCAAAAGGAGCTTGATGAAAGTCTGAGTGTAATTTTCACAGTTGCAAGGCTTGAAATATATACAGCAAAGATTACAAAAAAACGCAGAACAGTCATGCTAAGATTCACAGTTCCAGAGGTGAAAGTAAAACATAATTTTGCCAACATATCTCTCTATCTTATCAACCTGACACTAGACAGTAAATTCCTATTTTTCTGTGTTTGTTTTTCATTTTTACTGTCAGCCTTTCTCACACACTTAAGATTCTGCTCGGCTTTGTAATCCCAAGTCAAGATGGCCTTGATTCATTAAGCACCCCATTAAGCACTTCCAACACCAGTGGTGCCAGGTTGTTACTTTTTAAACGATCTGATAACATTCCTTGCTTGTTTGTAGTGGGCCAT